TTAAATTCGCGTTCGGTGTGAACACACCATAATAGTTGAATGACGGTGGATTATGAACTCGCCAAAACGGAAAAGAAAGCCCAACTGGACGCAGGATCAGTTACTGCTGCTGGCCCAAAAACATAATAAAAGTGAAATTCGGCACTGGGATATCAAGCAAAACTAAGCGTGAGAATGGGAGAGAATTTGTTTGCAGATCAATGCAGCATTCCCGCTTGTGTCGCGGACCCCGGACGACTGCGAGAGGCGGTGGTATGCGCTACAATCCTTTGTGAATAGGTCTTAGTGAGTTAGGAGTCCTCTCGACTTCTTTTAAGCTGTCCCAGACTTAAGTGCTACTTTTAGGGCTAAAATGCTTCGTGAATTACTCTTAGTGAAAAAAATTAGGAGTCCTAAAGTTAGGAGTGACACGCCCATTATTTTTAGGAGTTGCTCCTAAATTTGCCAGTTAGGAGCTACTTTTAGCCTTAAAATTCTTTGTGAATACGGCCCCAGGTAAATATTTTGGATTAATCTGTTCAAGATGTTCAGAGATATGTTTCTCCTGCTGCTTCATGTTGTTGTTTTTCACACAATGTGTTTTTCTGTCAGGACCATTATCGTCAAATACGATTGACAATTAGCATACAGTTAGAATTGGCGGTATGGTCCTGTTCTGGGCGAGAGCAGTAATAATCCCACTTAGGGTAAACAGAACAGAACCATCATGAATGTATTGCCGATATCATTCATTCATTTTAATGTACAACATAATTAGAGGATTTTAGTCTGATTCAGGGGTAATCAGAATGCCAAATCCTGACTGACGAGAGGAGGAGCTGGGGATGGAGGAGGGAATAAGCTCCTGAGAAACGTGAAAGCTGCTGATAATACTGAAGGAGCTTATATATGTATACAGTGATAGGCGTCGTATTCCTATAGGTAGACGTGGATCAGCTGAGAGTCAGCTGATGCGAGCTTGACTAAGGTGACCTGCCAGAACTGACGCTACGCATGATTTTCATTGTCTGTCACCCAGTATCGGTATCACACTGAAGCAACATTTTTACCATTTACACATGGCCACATAAAAGAGAAATAACAACAAATCTACATTGACTGCAGCAGGATAAGTACTGCATTATGCTGTCAGGGTGGTTAGGGGGAGTCATTAAAAAGGTAATGTCATAATTTTTTTCAAATAAAGAGAAGATGAAATGGAACATTTGTGCTAAGAACACTCTAGTAATCACCTGTGATACATTTTGAAGTGTGTTTTTTTTAAACTGGTATTTTAAGAACCAAAGGCAGATTCAATTATGGGACAGGTTTTGTCACATATCTCTTTGGAACGCCTTTGATTTTGCTGTACAAACAGTCAACGAACAAGTCAACAGAGAGCAAATATATAAAATTTGAAAGTGACTTTATTAGCTGTGAAGGTCTGTGTTAGGTTAGGAGTGGACAGATGAAAGACTGGGATAGTCTGGAGTGGTGGGAATGTATGTGACATACAGCTACTCATGCACTTTATTAATCTCCTGAATGAATGGAGAAAAATAGAGACATGAGGACCATAAGTGTAGAAATGTGTACACAGGTTGAAGTGGCTATGAAATGGAAATGGGAAACTATCTCAGGCATGTACAGTATACACCAGAATTGGGTACACCCCTGTGTAATTTCACTTATTGAAAATTGCTTGTCTCTTTTTTTCCCCATTTTCCCGCCACTCATTGTTTCCAATGTTACATATTATGTTCACCTGCACCCAGTGGCCGCTCCTAACCATAAATTTGGGTAGGGCAGATTCTGGGTCTTGGCACTGTAACACAGCTGAACACATGCAGACACACTTTTGGCAGAGGTCTAGTGTCCTTGCGTTATTCAGCCTGAGCACTATAAAGTTGATTGACAGCACACGACACATGCATAGAATGCTAACTTAGAATTCCCCAAATGTTGCCTCAGAATGTTGTTTTAGAATATTACAAGTTGTAGATTAATTCCGGTGAGGAAAAGAATGTCATGTCTATTCTCAGAACAAACTAAAATCTGGTTATTTACATGAGCACGTTTAAACTAAAGGATTTATACTTGCATTAATTTGATAATCTTTTTCACAAAGGAAGAACAGACATGAAACTAGTTACTGACCTGATTCAGACTAATATACACATAGCTGAAGTGAACTGATCTGGTCTGGAGTGTGGTTTACGTAAGGTAGCATGTAAATAAGTGGGATAGTCGGAAATCTGCCCCAATGGCTCTAAATTAAAGACACTGCAGTTCCATTTTTCACCACAGATTTACATTGGAAACCTGTGGGGCGCTGTAGAGCTGGGAGGGCTCAGGCATATTATAGTATCATAATACACACGAGCTTGCGGTGGATGTAAACACTCATGAGAATGAACTAGGAAAACTCCTGAAGCGAATAGAAAGGGTCTCTTGATGAAGAGAGCTTCTAGTTCGGGGCAGCACATCTTCTTCAATGCTGTTACATCTGGACACCACCTTTTATTGATGTAGAAGCATGTCCCACCGGCATGCAATTTCTCCACCTGATTCTGAGTCGCGATCTACTCTGAACAGCTGAAAGCCTGGCCGATGTAGCATGCTGTCCAGAATGGTTTCATTCTGCCAGGTTTCCGTGAAACACAGAGCAGCAGAGTTAAAAAGTCCTTATTTGTTTGAGACAGCAGAATAAGTTTGTCCGTTTTGTTGGGTATAAAGAGGAAATTTGCCAGATGGCTACTAGGCAGCTTGGTCCCAAAGAAGTGCTGTCTGAGCTTGACTAGCACGCCAGCTCCTTTCCCACGCTTGCGCATCCTGGGGCGCTCCAGCAGCCCCGCTGCCCCTCCAATTAAAATGTGTACTGCCCAATGTTCAGCAATTCATCCCTGGTAAAAATTATTGTAGGGATATAACTAAAGACAGGACAAACTAACAAAAACAGTAAAACAGCTGTGCAGCGACACACAGAGATAGCCTTCTGCGGCGCCATCTTATTCATCATGGACTCTCTGGTCCTGGACTCTCGTCTCCTCCTATTTCATCCACCTCTGCCAACACCATACTGTTCCTCGGGTCCACATTGGGCTTCCAGGTCACCAGCTCCGCCCTGGTGTGTCGATCCTGTTGCTCTTTCTTGTCTTTGCTTGCATGTAACAATATCACCTTAGATTAATTGCACTACTTCAAAGTTGAACAATAGGGTATTTGCTTCTATGTAAAATAAAAACAAACAGTTTAGATTTATTATATTAAAATTACAGCTCCACAGTGAGAACTCAATACAATAAAAGTACCTTTTATTATTTAGATTTTTTTTTCAGCTGCTTTTTTGCAGGAAGGGCCATGTTGCTACCTTTCTCTTTAAAATACACAGAAGTTGGTCTATTGGATTTAGGCTACATGGTCAGGTCATAGTTTTCACTTTACTTGATATGGCATTGCAACGCATTCTCATCCTTTGGCGTCATATAGGTGACGCCATATGACATTTCGTCGAAATCTTACGCACATGGGATCCTTTAGCGTCAATATAACATGCACTGTTATGGGTAGGTTTAGGTCTGGGGTAGGGTACGGTTATGACGCCTTGGGTTCTGCGTCTCATATTCACGCTAAACGATGCCATGTGCGTTGGATTTAGACGAGCGTCACCTGTATGACGCCTTGGGTTCTGCGTCTCATATTGATGCTAAAGGATGCCATGTGCGTAAGATTTCAACGAAATGTACAAAGCGTCACATGTATGACGCCAAAGGATGAGAACGGGCTGGGCATTGCTATCGTGCTTGAATATTCCTCTTCTACCGAGCTTCTGGGAGTCATCTTATCAGCCAGTATTTTGATAAATCTACAGGCATTCATGATGTTATCTATAAATATAATCTCCCCAACATGTTCTGGTCTCATGTAGCCTTGAATCATCACACTCCAACCTATTGTGCTTCACTGTCAGGACCGTGATCCATCATCCTGGCCATGGTTCACGCTAAACATGCTGGAATCCATTTGAGCCGAACATATTTATCTGGGTCTCAATTGAGCACAGAATGTGCTCCCAATATTCATCAGGCTTCTTTTTGTGTTCTTTATTTCACAAGTTTAATCTTGACGATTTTTTGCTGAAGAGCAAGCAAGTTTTTTTTTTTCTTGGACACCATCCATAGAGATAATTATGCAATATCCTTCGCACTAACTGAGCTGTCAAAGAAACTCCATTGATAACCCCTTTGCAAAGTCTGAAGCACTTGCCTGTCTGTTTTTCAGAGCTAGATTGTGCAAGCACATTGTCCATGTCATCATTTCAAGAGGATGGCCACTGTGGCTCTGATCAATGGTACTATGGCTTATCCTATATCTCCTGATTATTGTATTTCAACTAAATTTCAGTTCCTCTTTGGAGCCATGGTGCAGACATGCAGATGGACACAGGCCATAAGTTCAAAGCTATCAATGTTCTGGTTTTCAAGGGTTAATCCATATATTTTCTTACCATGTTCATGAAAGTAAAGTACTCACTTATTTCAGTAATCACAGGTGTGTTCACTATTGTTGCATTGAATTTCTATTTTGAAGCCTATATTTTCAATCTAGTATTTGTTTTTAGTTGTTTATAAGAGGACATTTCTGTCAGTATTTGTCAACTTAGAAATAATGTAATTATTGAGAGGTGATCAAATTTATAATCATTTGACATTTTAGTGATATTACACTGGGGTGTACTCACTTGTATACTGTAAATCAGAGGTCTTCAACCCTGCTTTTGGAGTCCCAAATGTCCTGCAGAGTTTAACTCCAACCCTAATCAAGCACACCTGAACCAGATAATCAAGGTTTTCAGGATCGCTTGAAAATTACAGACAGGTTAGAAATAAATCTTGCAGGACATTAGGTCTCCAGGAACAGGGTTGAAGATATCTGTAAATTATATAAATGTGAAATGGTTTTGTACAGACGAAACAAATATTTATTATCAGTGTAAATATAAAAAAACTGCTTTAACTCACATCAATCATACCCTCTACTTTAGCGATTGCCTTTCCGAAGATTGTTCCAAGCTGGTCTCCCACTCCTGCCAGCAAGAATCCGAACAGAGGAATTCCCAACAGGGCGTAGATAATACAGAAGATACGTCCACCCTCTGTGTGAGGTGAGATATTCCCAAATCCTGGAGTCAATAAAAGTAAAGTTTAAAAAAAAGTATTTGATACTCAAAAAGTATGATACATTTTTTTTCATCGTAAAAAAAATATTAATTAAAAAATATATATATATAATTTCCCAAATTTGAACCTCTTAAATCTTTGGTTGTATTTAGTTTAAAACACAAGCTGTTTACCAGCAACAACATGCCACTGAGAATCTTTTTCCCCAATTCTGAGGGTGCCGTCTTACCACAAGGGACAAGCTTAAATTTTTCATCTCACAATAAAAACACACTACAAATGTAAATTAATTACTGCATTGGTTCTTTTTTGTCGCACCCCCTACATTTAATTTTTTTTTTTTGCAAGGATAAACACCTGCAATAGTTTCACTTTGTAATGTCATTATTTCATGTAACAGTAAGAGAGAATAATAATACAGAACTTAACTTTTAATTTAAATAGACAAAAACATTTAAATATTTCAGTGATCCTTTGGATGAACAATATATAAAAGCGCAAATATATAACTGCTTTTGACAGTGCCTCACGTCACAAGCTCAGCTTCTTGTTCGTCTTTTCACCGGAACACGCACTGCAGTGTTGCATTAGCAGATTGTGATTCGGTCCGCTGAAGAGGTGCTTTTCTATGGTGAGCAACTTCTATGTTGGGCTTGTTCCAATGGTGACAATTCAACGGTATGAAGAAGAACGATTCAGTGTAATTGCCTTTCGATGCCGCTTTATTAAGGCAGAGTGCTAACCGCTATTCCCGTACTTGAACGCCGTTGCAATGGCTGTTTTTTTTATGCACCCCCTACAGTATCCTCGAACCCCCCACTTTGAGAACCACTGAATTACTGTGTTCACAAACCATGCTTTTATTAATTATTTACCTATGGACTCCAAAGAATCTTCATGCACTGCTTTTACTGAACTTTGGCAAAAAAATCCAAGGAATAATTTGCAAAAGAGTTGTCAAAAAGTACCGACTTCGGTACCAGTCAGTACTGAATTTTAAAGGGAACTTGGCAACTTTTTCAACATAAAACTGTTTAGAAATCATTTGGATGGTTAGATAACCTGCTCTGGTGAAAATGGTGACTTTCCCCGCTCCTGCCAGCGTTCCCAGGCGGAAAACCAACCTTGCAACATGGAGACTAACGTCCCGGTAAGTTGGAAATAGGAAGTCTCGTGAGAAGAGAGAATGAGCGAGAAACACGATCTGCTTTATGGCAATTCGACATAATTCTATGATACCGTGTATGATGTATTACTCACCTCGATAGACATAGCTCTAAACGATAAAGTTGTCCGGCTTCGATAATAACAAATGCACATGAGCAGCGGTAGAACGTATTTTTTTACGACAGTTTTGTGAAATATACGCCCCACAGCTGTAGGGGGAGCTCGATGAGAAAACATGCGACAACAAAAGTGAAAATCAGCGAAGAAATGGCATAGAGTTGCCAAGTTCCCCTTTAAAATATGTGAGTCTTTGAGCGCTGTTGAGCGGAATCGTAAACACCACAGATTGCCTATTGTACTCACACGCTCATCGGAAATGTCTGTGATTGGCTACAATGATCAGCTCTTTAAAAACATGTTGTAAATATACATCAAACACGCTCTTCACTGAGCGCTTACACAGATACAGATGGCAGCGTTTGAAAACAGGCGTCTATCAGCAGAGCGGTCCGCTAATAGACGCCTGCTTGTGCTTTCAAACACTCCCGCTCCCGTTTTTTAAAACACTTCCAAACACTTCCATGTGCTCTCAAACACTCCCGTGCGTTGATCATTGTAGCCAATCACAGACAAATCCGATGAGCGCGTGAGTACAATAGACAATCAGACGTGTTTACGATTTCGCTCAAAGTCGGTACCGACTGTACCGAAGTTGGTACTTTTTGACAACTCATATTTGCAAACATTGTTATTATTATTATTCCATTTCTCTTGAGGTGAAGTTGTTCAGCATGAGAAAGCCTATAAAGTGATATGAATTATGCATGTCTGCGTCAAACAATGTATACATAACATGACGAAAACTGTTTAAAGCTGATTGCGTGATGGAGGCACAATATTTTGTATTTCTTTTTTGGACCAAACTCATTTTGTTCAAGTTACAGCTATTTTAATAAAATTGTTGAACCCTTACATCATTTATTTGAACTCTTAAAGCCATAGAAGATTATCATAAAACATGCATAGTAGAGAATGTATAGCCTATAAATCTGGTCACCAAAGGCACCTTAAGAAGAGAGAGAGATGCAGCGATGACTAAAGGGGCCCCAAACACTTATACTTTTAGAAAAGACTCATCCGAATTGGTGAGTGCAATTTACACGTGCCAATCCCCGGACTTACGGGAAGAAAAGGAGATGGTGTGCATCCACTCATTCAGATTTGTTCTTTGGAGCTAAGCGGTTGCTCAAGCAATCACTCAATCCATTAACCTCTGCAAAAGGATAAATCAGTGGTCACATATCAGTGGTCTCTATCCTTTCCATTTGCACAGCTAACTGTAGAGAGTTCCCCTAGGTTTTCAAGAGCACGATTGCGTACAGAATGGCCTTAAAACTGTTTTTTTTTTACTCTCTTAGAAGAAAACAAACACAACCCTTGATACAGTGGTTAAATTAACATGAAATAAAGCTTAAACTTCTGACATTTCCAAACAGCACAGCAGTAATGACTTTATGAACTTTGTAGCATCTGGACTGAATCACGATGACCGATTCAGTTCTAAGCTTCAGAAAGCTTTTAACCTTTTGTACTTCTTAATGTAAATCATAGGCCTTGCACCGATGAGTCTGGATCGAATTGCCCCCATTGTCACTTTAGTTGCCTGGCAAATGCTAAACAGAAAACACCTAAAAAGCTCCACATAGACATAGACATTCTTTCATTTAACTCATAATTAATCATCCCAGAATGTATGAAAGTGACATTGTATGGGGATGGGAGAAACCCACCCAAATAAGCTTCGGTTAAACAGGCTTATAACAATTTGGGTAAAAATTAACGACGTGCGTCTGTGGAGGGAAAGGTCCACTGTGCTTCGGGTGCAAAATAGGAATGATACATGCGTCGGTGTACAAAGTCATTTGCTCTGGGTGCAAGATAGTGCCCTAAGTGCTTATATTCAAGTGTAAGAATGTATCTCTACTTTGATATCTTACATCCATATCTTCCTTGGTATTGAATAATTCAGCTCATTACGCCTTAATTAACAATGTATAGTATGTTACGATAAAATGTATTATAATATTTTTACCATCCTTTGGAGTAAAAATTATCAATTCTGACACCATCATAAAACATGCAAATTAGGCTGTCAGAAGGAGACATAGAAAACTCTCTCCCGCTAAAAGTTCCTAACTACTATTGGTCATTTCACCCAAAATAAGTGTGGACTGATTTATTCTTAAAGGACGTTGACAATAGCTCATCTTCGCTCATTCTTTCTTTCCTGCTCATTTTTCCCTGTCCGCTTATTTTTCCTTTCCTTTGGATGAGACAACATCTTCCAGATTTTCGGGCAAAACTGACTCTCGAGTTTACCTCGTTCAAATAATATTTTATTTGAACGACGTGCCCTCGTTAGGCAGGAAATGAGCAGGAAAGAAAGAATGAGCGAAGATGAGCTATTGTCAACGTCCTCTAAGAATAAATCAGTCCACACTTATTTTGGGTGAAATGACCAATAGTAGTTAGGAATATTATTCCCCCTAACGACGTGCCCTCCGGAAGAACCCAAAGAACGTTTCATGCATACGAACCACGCACCGAGGATCTACACACACACATGCAAGTATTATTTCTATCGATATTTAGATGCGTTTAAGATTGTTTGCACCTGCTTTAAGGTGATTTGATTCTTTGCAGGCTCTCAAGGGTTTTCTTTCTTTACTCTTCGTTATTCTGTATATATGTATTCTTTGTTTAAAGCTGCAGTCCGCAGTTTTTCCTCTTTGTCGCCATCTCTGTTCGAAATCTGCAATTGCAGTTATTCGCGGAATTATCAACTTTACGTGAGTTGTACTTCGACACCCTCGACACGGCACAGCGCGGATGAATCCAATGTTTGAGGAGAATGTGCAGCTGTCAGTCGCCGCACCGGTGTGGATACTGGCGTTCAGAATCACAGATTATTCTTTTTGGAAGTATGACCAACATCTTAATTAATGAAATAATGTCAACATAATGAAAATGTAATCTGAACAAGTAAGTAACATCCACTTTTGTTCTGGTTCTGACCAACTAAGGGGGAAAATCATTGCAGTAAATCGCACTGATTAACTCTAACAATCGCTTATCATATCACGTAAAACCGTGCAAATTATACTTTGTTCTCAAATTGTTAATCTTCAACATCAGTATTGCGTGACTACATTTAATGCCCTTCTGATATTTATCCTTGTTTTCGCATGGGCTGGTTGCAGTCTCTTTTTTTCTGTAGCCACTCTTCGGCCAAGACTTCGGTCTTTTGCATTTTACAACGGGTGAATCTCCAGCTGTCACTGCGATTGTTGTTTGAACCTTTCTGGATCCGCCATCAAATTGATAAGTTTAATTATATCAAGCGCTGTGAGAAAAGGCTATAAATCTCCACCTCCAACATCCTCACATGCAATAGGCTATAGCCTACCAGCCGAGACACCTTCTTTATGTGTACAGATGTGACGTAATGACGCAAAGACATGCTCGAATTTCCCGCGGAAATCCACCAGTACCACTGGAATTAAAAACATCATTACAAGCTTACCGTGTTGAATCGAGCTAAGGCAAGCAGATGGTTTTGAACACTGGCTAGTTATGTATTTGCTAACCCAAAAAAGCTACGGACTGCAGCTTTAAGTGTAGTCATGTTTTATTTATTAAAAACCATTATACGCTTGATTGTCGCTGTTGATGCTCACTGATCATATTAGTCACTTAAATGTTTTGATCTTTAGCTACAAAGCAAAATCCCCAGTGTTAAATCAACACTGCTCAGAGTACATATGGCCCCACTCTA